ATGAAAGCATGGAGGAACAGCTCCACAGCAGCTCAAATCAGTCAGTTTTAAAACTCGAGGCCTATTTTCCTGATGTCTTTTCTTGACAAGATGTTTTGGGGTCGTGCACACGGTAAATTAATTTCTAAGTAAATCCTGGAGACTGCTACAGTTTATCACTCTATCAGTCGTATCATCTTTGTACGTTATCCAGCAATATTTACAGATTCATTGGTATACACTTTCATCGTCTTCTGTTGCAACGGTATGGAAACTAATACGCAGTTTTGGAAGTTCAAAACAGCGCTGCAGTAATGGAGAGAATCTCGAACCATCAGCATTGTGAAAATGAAGGAATGAATCTGGTTAAGTTCGACAGCAGAAGTAGCCTTAGAGAGCTAGGAACTGATTGTTAATGTACTTAATTCCCTTCTGTTCTTTAGTGTGGTAATGGATATAATTAAACAGCGCGGAACAGTCCTGTAAGGAAGTCTGAATCGTGTATCATGGGCAAAGTTTAGGAATAAGCGAAAAACTGAAAAAAATAGCCTTCGCTCACTAGCTGCAGTAATATGCATGACTGCAGCATAAACGAGCTTCCAGATAAACTTAGCAAAGACAAAGGAGATGAAGATACCAAGTGGATTAATGAAAATGAAGGCGTCAGCAAGTAAGCGATATTCAAAACGTGCCGCAGCTGGTAACGATCAGCAACTGATGACGTGGAAAAGTGTCCAGAGCTTCGTGTAAATACGGGCAGGAACTGCCCGTCCTTGAACCGTCCGCAACATTAGCGAGGGGTCTAGGCGATCACAACTTTGAACATATATATGTATGTATATATTTAACATAAATTGTCTACATATCATAATAACAGTAGAGACTAAGTGTTAAAACAGCACCAAATTTTTTCCACCCTCCTCTAACGTCTAGTGCCTTCAATGTCGACAACATTATAGCACTCGTTCGGAAGACTGTCTTTAATTTGTTGAATATTCTTCACTTCCTGCTCCAGTTGAGCAATATCCGCTTTGTAGAGATTTATCTTCTTGGCCTGCTCCAACTGTTTAGCTTTCAAGCTGCTAACCTCCTGCTGAAGATTCACGTTCTCCAAATTCTTACTAGCTTCTTGCAACTGTTCCTCGAGCCGATCCAGGTCCGCGTCCTGAACTTC